TATATTAGATAAAATAAAAATAAAAATAATATAATATTTTACTAAAATTTGAGTTATGACACCTCCCTATTCACACCCTTAACTTTTTAAAACCAGTGAAAAACTCAATATTTTAACCCACCGTCACGGCACCGTTAATAACCGTTAAAAATTGTAATACATGGCATCAAACAGTAACATGAACGTTATGTCATCTTATTAATCCAATGTGGACTCTTTTTTTTTTTTTTGATGATGTGGTATAATTAAACCATAATTAATTTTAATTTCTTCATTTTCTTTTTTCCTGCATCATCTTTACCATCTTCCTCTTCATCCTCCTGGGTTCCTCATGGGACCAGGAACCCAGGACTTTATGTCACATTTATTAATCCAATGTTGGACTTTTTTTTTATAATGTGTTATAATTAAATCATAATTAATTTTAATTTCTTCATTTTCTTCTTTCCCAGCATCATCTTCACCCTCCTCGTCCTCATCCTCCTAGGTTCCTCCCGGAACCCAGGTTTTGAGTTCTTCATGGAACCTAGTTTCATATGAATGCCTACCAAGTTAAGATTTTCATCCACACAATTATAAGTAAATGAATACTGCACAAAAACAGGATAAGCATCTTCTACCCCTTTCCCACAAAAAATGAAAAAAACTCAAATTGGCAACTTGTTCAGAAACAATCTCCAAGCAAAAAAACTCACCTTTCCAACAAAAACATTATTCCAAGTTGCTTTGCATAAAATAGGAAACTAAGATAAATACATTCAAAAAAAAAAAAAGGTCAAGAACCCAAAAACTGGGTTCCCCGTCAGGAACCCAGATTTGGGTTCTGCACAGGAACCCATTGAGAAGAGGACGGTGAAGATGAAGGATGGTGAAGATGATGCCAATGATGAGGGGGAAAGAAAAAGATGAAGAAATGCCATTTATGTTACTGTTTGGTAATAATATAATTTTTTGTTGATCTCACTGTACACGTGGTGTCCACATGTGCAGAAAATAAACCACATCATCAAAAAAGGGGATCCACATTGGATTACTAACGTCACATAGTGCCACATCAATTTTTGGGTGTCACGTAATATACTTTTTAACGGTGCCATGACGGTAGGTTAAAATATTAGGTTTTTCACGGGTTTTGAAAAGTTGAGAGCATGAATAGGGAGGAAAAATTTTGGAAAGTGTTGACCACGGAAAATAATTAAATGGAGGGTGCAAATAGGAGCTTTGGCCTATTTAGTTTTCAAAGATGTGAATGTCAATTGTATTCACTATTAGAAGATGATAGAATGCAATAGAAGAATAAATTATAAGAGGTGACCTTACTTTTTTAAAAAATTCAAAATCTCCAAGGATATAATAGAAATTCAAAAATTCTGTCAAGATTAGATTCATAACATAAACTTCTACTAAGAATTTTATACTAGATGAATAGACACTGGTTGAAGGGATATATTTATTTAAAAAGACACCAACAAAAGAGATGTATGCTCATAGGAAGAACTTATTATGAAAAGATGTCTTTTACTTGTCAACAATCATGTTTGAAATTCAGACATATCTTTCTAATTTCAAAAATTAATTAAAATTTTTCAAAATTAATTAAAAAATAAATTTCTTTTAGCATATCAAAGCCCTAAATGCCCATCTAAATAATGGTTAAAACTCCTTTTTGGTCCGTCTACTTTAACAAAAAACTCATTTTTAGTTCTTTTATTTAAAAAACTCATTTTTTGTTCCTAAAGTTTAAAATCTTACCCTTTTTAGTCCCTTTGTTATTTTTTTCTTGCATGGCACGTTATTTTAACAAAAATTTAAAAGTAAAGAGATTAAAAAGGGACTTTTTAAAAGTAAAGAGACCAAAAAAGAGCTAAATAACTCATTTTGATCCTTTTACTTTTAAATTTTCGTCATTTAACACATCATATATATAAAAAATAACAGAGGGACTAAAAAGGATCAAATTATAAACTTTAAGAAATAAAAAAGGATTTTTTAAGTAAAGAGACTAAAAAAAAACTTTTTATTAAAATAAATAGACCAAAATAGAATTTTAACCAAATAATAATATATATAAGGGAAAGGTCTAAACCCAAAATTCACTTACCTTGTGTTCTAATTTTTCATAATTATTTATGAACAGAAGAGAAACATATATAAATCCCTTTATTTCCTTATTTTTTCTAGATATGGGGCTTTTACTTTTTCAAATTATTCACCATTCACAAGTCATGATTTTTACGAAATTTTTTTTTTTGGCATACACTAACTCAAAAAGACACTTCTACCCCCTCCCCTCCCCTCTTCCTTTGTCAATTTCTAGCTCCGTCCCTGGCCAACCGGGCAGCTTTTCCCAAACATGACCTAATTAACTGGTCTGCAGACTGTGTCCGTGTGGCGTAAGATATTTGTTACTGGAGGATTCCCTCGCCAACCCCAGAAGTCTTGTTCATGTTCGAATCCAAACTTAGTTCGTAGGATGACATTTTTCTTTTCAAAACGAAAAATATGTCATTGATTGAAAAGAAATGGGAACATCAAAAAGTTTTGATATATTTTTAACATCATTACATTTAATAATAATTATATGATAAATTTAATAAAATTAAAGTTTGTATTATATTACACATATTTAATGATTGTAATTTATTAAAATATTTAATAATAATCACATAATGAATTTAATAAAATTAATACCTATAATATATCTTATATAATTAATAGTTATCATCGAACGTGTTTACATTTTAAGATATTTTAATTTTTCTTTCTCTTTTGATTAAATTAATACACTATACAAGAATAAGGTAAAGTTCAAAAAAAAAAAATAGTACAAATATAAGATAGTCAACTATGTTAGAAAAGTTTGACATTAATTATTTTTTATAAGACAATTACCCCACCATTTTCTAATTCTAATTAAAACATATGTTAAAAGATGTTAGAAGGTTAGAAGGTATAGTTAATTTATTTATTTTATATTAATTTATATAAAAAATAAAAAAGTTGAATTAATTTCGCTACTAATATTATGTTGAACGACTGATTAAATAAAAATTAATTTTTATTTTTCAATATTAATTAGTATAAAAAATATGCATTCATTGCACCCTCAATCTATAACATACATTAAAAAAACCCCTTATAGTTTTCACCGACGCTAAGCAAAAAGATAAGACGGGTCAGGATTTTGGTTGGCCAATTTAATTAGAGGCAATTTTGGGGATGAAACTTTAGAAGGCTTTGTATGTGCATCTTGATTTTCCCTAATTTTGATGGGGAGGGAAGCTAAGAGGATGAAATGGAGGAGGCATGATTTTGGTGGGTCAAAACTAGGAAGCCTTGAGCACAGGCAAAGAGGAAGAGCTTAAAGTAACCAAACCAAGAGATGAATTAAAAGCTAGTGCTATGGAGGAGATAGGAGAAAAAGAGAGTGAGGATGGTGAAGAGGAAGATGATTGGCAGGAGAGGGAGGAGCCTGAGAATGCCACTGGGGATCTTCGAAGCAATGAAATTGAGATCCATACGTTAACCATATTCACGACTTCCCCTTCCATCGTTCTTTGATTCAGAATGGAAAATGGTTTTCTTTCTAATTTGAGATAGGGGGATAACATGCAGATACAATGGTAATTTAGGATGAAGTAGGAATCTTGACAGGTATATGAGCCGCTTTGGTTAAGTGTTGTTTTTAAGACATGAAAAACAAGAGCAGAAGCAATACTTTAAAACCATAAAATTGCTCACCATTTTTAAAAATCTTAGTAATACAATGGTGTCTCGCCCCAAAATTAATACCCTTCAGTTAAACAATTGTTATAGCATAGCTTCATGTGTCGCAATCATAGGGAAACTATATTAATGTTGACTCAATGTACTCTAAGAGGGGGGGTGAATTGGAGTTCCAAAAATTCTCTTCTTTTACAATCACAAAACCAAAATTAAAAAGAGTAGAGAAGAAGAGCTTGCTCAATGATTTTATAGAGGTTCGATTCAACCACTTAGAACTTAATGCTCTACCTTGGCTTTACTCACCAAAGATTTCCTCCACACTCTCCACTAAGAAAACAAGGGTGGCTTAAAGGAGCCACTCAATCCTTTTACAACAAGATAAGTATTTCTCTCAAACCTCAACCCTTTACAATATAAACCGTAAGAATCTTCTCTATAGATCACTCTTGAAGGATTAATCACACCCCCAAAATCACTCACAAATAGAACAAGAAGAGGATTACAAGTAAAGATCTCTTAAAGATCAAAAACTCAAGTTAAAGCACATATAGGTAGGTAAAGATATTCAATGCAATGCTCTCTAAACTTGCTCGAAGTCTTCACCAACTATATTTATAATTCCATGGTCGAAAATAGCCATTACTAACCGTTGGGGCTCATTTAATGCTCTGTAGGACGCAAAACTCGAGTTGCAAGATTGTCAAAACAACCGGCTTAACTTCCTAGAACCGGCTCTATACAGTCGGCTTACCATTCCTGCAGCCGGCTTTGCGAGATCCTGCACATTTTGCTTTCTCCGTAGAGCCAACTGCAAAACGCAAAGCCAGTTTTGCGAGTTTGCTGCACATTCTATTTTCTTGGACAACCGGCTGCAAAAAATGTAAAGCCGGCTTTGGTATTTCGACTTTAAAAATATTAATTATTTTTCAAATAAGTCGACCGTTGAGCATTAAATGCGCCCTTACAGCCAGCTGCAAAGTTAGAGCCAACTTTGCGTCTTTTCTCCGCGCGTGCTAAACAACGAACCTTTAAATCTTTACCCGTAGAGTTGGCTACAGCTTCTAGAACCAGCTCTATGGACTTCCACAGCTAGCTGCAATCCCTTTAAGCTGACTTTCTGCACTTCCATTTCACAGAGCCGCCTGTAGGTTTTAAGAGTCGGCTCTCTGCACATTTTCAATCATTTTGGTCTATTTTTAGTGTAGTCCAAGTTTACTTGCAATCTTTTACCAATTTAACTACACACTTAAATAAAATAATTAGTCACTCAAGTGTGTTTTGTAATCATCAAAATCATAGGTACAACAATTAAACCAACAAAAAGAGTTGTCAGTTATCACAATAAGAAATTAAATTAAAAGATTATTTCTAAAATTAAAAATAAAAGTATTTAAATAAAAGATGATAATTATAGAGGATTGACAATAATATTATGATGAACACGACTTTAGGGTTCACCAACTATTATAAATTTTGATTCCTATTTATTACTTAATTGCATGTTTCATATCCCAAACAAATAATCAAAAGATATAACTTTAAAGACCAATAACAATAACTAATGTATTTATTTTGAGAGAAATTAATTCCAATGACGAACAAATTGATCTATCTTTACGAACTATCTAAAAGCGACAATATATCTAATGAACAATACTACAATAAAATATCAACCCGCAAAACAAATCTACCAATTAATTATATTCTAACAAATTACACATAAAAAGAGCATGACTAATCTTATATGAAATTTGATGAATATAATTTTA